ATATATTTAAAAAGCATTTAAGTATTCAAATCTTAGATGCTTATTATGATCCTTCTATTAGCTATTGAAACCCACAATATTTAAAATATTAGAAAGCTTAATAATTTTTGTAATTTTCTCCATTGTTGTTTTTAAAAGTATCGTTTTTTATTCTTTTAAAAAGTACAGTTCAAAAACATATATATTTTATATTTTCTTTGTAAATTATGAAACTTGATGTAAAAAAAATGTGTCCCGCATTTTTCATGTCACAACGATGTTTTAGTCCATTGGCCGAGACTGATTTGAACTAAACCCATAAATTTATGATCAGGAAATATTCCTGTGTCCCCCTCTCTCATAGCTATAAGGTGTGAGTAGATGGGTCCCATCATTTTGAGGTAAATGTGTTCAAAAGTCTGAAAAGTCTGTGTGTAACTTTAAGAAACGTTACTACCGAACTACCTTTTTTCTGCAATTAAGCACACTTTTTTGGGAGTTATTCCATAACCTTTACTTTTTATATGTATACCACTGTTCAGAACTGTGCTAGCTAATCATGTGTTGATTAGCATCTTTGAGCTAGGTTCAAAAGTATCTAAAATTGTCACTACAGAAACATATCATTGTTTCGGTAGCGACAAAAGGAAAGGCATAATCCTCATATTTTGGGGGAAATAAACAAAATTTTAGTAGAGTTATGCAATTTTTTTTTGTATTTTAGTATGTTTTATTAGTCTTTGTATGCGAGTTAAAATTCTGTAATGTGATGCGGTCGCTACCAAAGCATTACCGTCACTACCGAAAATGTGCTGTCACTACCGCTGTCACTATCAAAAATAAAGTATATGGAATTATCAGCTAAGATGTTTTGATAGTTTTTGGTTCAGTATATATTCAAACTAATGAATCCTTAACTTTGAAATCAGTATGATCAACTTTTTGCCTGTTACAAAGAAAAATTCAAGAAATCTCATATATTACACTTGAAATATTGTTAAAAATGTAATTGTTATTGATTCACCTCTGAAAATGTTTGAATAAAATAGCGAAAAAATTTATTTACAATCTAGATGTAAGCAAAATCTTAATAGGTCAATATAACCCTTCTAATTAAATTATTATTACTGTGTTTCGGTAGTGACGCATTTGGGGAGTGGACAAATATTCCAAAACTTGACAAAAAAAGACAAAACATTTTTCAATATGTTTCCAACTCGGACTTTGGATCAATTTCTGTAGAATATATATATATATATATGTATATGTATATGTATATGTATATATA